TCGGGCGCGGATGGGTACGGTGATAGCGACAAAGAGGACGGGAATGACACGTCTGTACACCAAGCGGCATATCCTTCTGCGGCGAACAATATCTGCCAAGGTCAACCGCTAACCAAGAGGCGAAGAGTGAGCAAAGCCTACGTGCAACCCACCGACCGTGTCACGCGGCAGTCATCAGGAGGTGAGCTCGAGCAAAGTGACTTCTGGAGACACATCTGATACCTCAGCAGTAGCGGCCGTCCCCGGCGTTCAGTAGTAACCCTGTTCTGTTGTACCGCTTCATGCCTGACATTGCAAAATTTCCTCTGTACCGACGTTGCGAGCCATCAAACCTATACACGACCTCACATGGGCGAACAGTGCTCCGGCTTCTGCTACGCTGTCCTTCCACCACAGCTGGAAATACGCTGGATTTACGTGAGCATTGCCTTTACCACCTTGACGGACGAAACTCTGGCGCGTGTATGAACTCTTGTCGACTCATCATGAAATTTATCTCCACCTCAACCTCCTCCGGCCGTCTCTAGGCCCTCGGAAGCGGCCCAATCGCGGCCACACCCCACTGCTCGTCTCCATCATACTCGTCCTCTGTCCACAACCGCTGCGGCAAGTACTCGTCGTCGTACTAGCGACTCCGCAGGACCGACACCCACGCCTGAGACGCACCCCCATCTGCATCCGCGCGCACCTCCGCTCGACCTCGCGCCTCTGCGCGAATGGCACCGCTGCGGCCGTAGTGCTACTCGCCCACTTCGGTGCGCGGCTCAGCTGCACGATCACGACTCGCAGGCTAGGGTACGTTGGGGGTACTGCGTGGGGCTCTGACTCTGACTTTACAGTGCCGCCATCCCTTGTTGAATGACGAAGAAAACGCACGCGCGCAGGGCGCGCGCGCGATGGTGCAAAGTGGACGCAGCAGGCGCGCGCACGCGCGCCGCGTACCCGCGAGCTCGTCCAGTACACCCACTCTCATTTATTCCCTTTCTCGGTATGTTCTACTCGACATTCGTTTACTCATTCTCCCGGGCTCTCGAGGCCTCGGCTCGAGAGCGCTCGTACGATACATGACTCGTGTCGTTATTTTCACCTAGGTACTGCCGCCCGCACGGGCGCTCACCTCATTCGTTCTTGCTCCGAACGTCTGAGGTGAGTTCTTCCCAGCCTCGCTGTCGTGATCTGTTACTCACGTATCTCCGGTGCAGACTTACCTTCTGCACTAGGTTAGCACATCAATATCAATTCGTTCTTGCTCCGAACGTCTGAGGTGAGTTCTTCCCAGCCTCGCTGTCGTGATCTGTTACTCACGTATCTCCGGTGCAGACTTACCTTCTGCACTAGCTCGCTCCGCTCGCTCCTCCCCCATCGTTCATAACCTTAACAGGTTATGAGCCCTGCTTCCACGCAGTAACAACTCCATCAAACCTTCCACACAACCGATCTATGTCCTACGAAATGTCCGTCAACTCTACCAAGTACAGTGTGCCCAAGCTCGCGGGAGATGGGTCAAACTGGGTGGTCTATCGAGAGCGCGTCCTGACGCTGTTCAAAGCGAAAGGCCTGATGCCATACATCCGAGGTACGGTACGCGAACCTCCTCTCCCACCCCCTGTCGACCGCGAAAACGCCCATATCCCCCGTGCTGCGGCTGCGCCCACAACGGCAACGGAAACTCCCACACCAGCGCCTGCGACGACGGATACATCCGGACCCGATCCCCCTCCCACGTCCGATGTGTACTCGCATCTCACCGACGACGAGTATGCGACCCTCTTCGACACCATCGAGGCCAAGTACAACACTTGGGAGACCAAGGAGGCGGAAGCGCGAGCGCTCATCTACGAGACGCTGAGCGAGGAACTGTTCGTGGACGTCAAGCACCACAGCAATGCGAAGAATCTCTGGGAGGCCGTGGTCTCCATCAACGAAAACAAGTCTGTCATGTACGCCAATGCCATCCGAGCGCGTATGCAGAACATCCGCTGCTCTGAGGGCGGGGATATCCGGGCGCACCTTGCGTCACTCACCAAGGAGCGCCAGAATCTTGCCGCTATCGGTAGCAGGCTCGACGACGGCGACTTCTGTGCGATCATCATGAGCAGCATCCCCGACTCGTACCAGGCACGCGTCCAGTCAATCGCCGACATTGCACGCCTCTCCAACGTCCCGATCCCGTGCGACTTGCTTATCCTCACGCTCAACGAGGAATACGACCGCCGGGGGATCCAGAACAGGTCCACGGAGACCGCTCTCGCAGCTTCATCAGCTCGCGGACCGGCGCTGGAGTGCTTCAACTGCCACCGACGTGGACACATGGCCCGGGACTGCTGGCGTACCGGAGGTGGGAAGGAAGGACAGGGGCCGAAGGGGCAGGCCTGGCAGAGCGGGAAGAAGAGTGGAGACGGAGGAGCGGGAGCCAACACGGTCGGTGAGCAGCAACGCGACCACGCATTCGCTGTTTCACTAGGGAACATCACAGCCCTATCTGCGCAGACACTGGCCAGCGCACCCGAGGCCTACATCGAGGTTTACGACAGCGGCGCAACACGACACATCTCCCCGTATCGCGAGCGCTTCGAAACCTACGAGAGGCTAGACCCGCCCCGTCCCATCACCGCTGCAAACGGTGACCAATTCATGGCCACCGGAGAAGGTGACATGCGCGTCCGTATGCCAAACGGCGGCAGCACCTCCAGTGTCATGTTGAAGAATGTCCTGCACTCCCCCGACATCACGTTCACACTCGTCTCGATCCGCAAGGCCGACGAGAGCGGGTACTCCACGATGTTCGAGCACGGAGAATGCAAGGTCCTTGAGCGGGCGACACGCGAGACGGTCGCGCGCATCCCCGCAACTCACGGACTGTACAAGGTCGTGACAGCTCGACCCATCGCACTCAGCGCCACAAACACCCGTCCAGGCAGCCGTGACAGCGATGAGCTCGTTGTTTCGAACGGCGAATTCCATCGCATCATGGCTCACCCTTCCGAGCAGGCCACTATCGATCTCATCTCGAAGGGACACGCAACTGGCGTCAAGCTCACTTCTACGGCAATTGGCGAGCGCTGCGACGTCTGCATCCAGACCAAGATCACTCGCAAGCCCGTCCCGACGGAGGCGCAACACGAGTCCGAGTTAGAGAACGGCCCCGTTCTCCTCTACGGCGACTGCTTCGATGCAGACAGCTGGGACCCTAGTGCACTCTCTCTGGGCGGCAATCAGTACTCGTCAACCTACGTCGACCGCGCCACGCGTTTCAAACACGCATACGCTTACAAGAAGAAGGATGGGAACTACGATGCCTATCTCGAGCTGGAGGCCGATGTACTCACACAGACTGGCCGGCAAATCAAGCGGATCCACACGGATGGCGGCGGCGAGTTCATCGGGCTCAAGCCCCATCTCATCTCACGCGGCACACGGTTCACCACCTCCGTACACGATACCCCAGAGCAGAACGGCCTCGCCGAGCGATCCAATCGCACTAACCGCGAGAAGATCGCTGCAATGCTCCTCGACGCCAACCTCCCGAAGTCGCTATGGACGTACGCCTTGATGCACGCTGTCTATCTTGAGAACCGGACTGGGACGAGCGCGCTGAATGGCAAGACGCCGTACGAAGCTCGATTTGGGGTTCCACCTGATCTGCGCAAGCTACGGGTTTGGGGCACACCTGTCTGGGTCCGGAAGGAGTCATTTGCGAAGCTCGACCCCAAGGCACGCCCTGGACACTTTGTCGGGTTCAGCCCGGCCCACAAGGACGGGATCTATGTCTACTGGCCTGACAGACGTAATGTGACTGTCGAGCGCAACTATGTCTGGAGGGACGGGCCGACGCTGGTGTCTGCGGATATCCCGAGCGAGGGGGCGAGCAGTCAGGGGGCGGTCGAGGAAGATGGATTTCCTTCTTCTGCTGATACTCCAGATCGACCCGCGACCCCTTCCCCGTCTTCTCAAGACGTCGACGCTCAGGATCCCGAAGACGCGAACAACCCCGTTGCACACAGCGACGACGCCGACGCCGACGAGCTCATCGTCGAACAAGCGCCCGTCGACGCCGAACCCACCGGGCGTGGTCACCGCATCAAGAAGCCATCTGCGCTCATGCGGCGCACCATGGAGGGTGAGGGAACGGTCAGTGGGTGCGCACAGGAGACCATGAAGTACCCGTCAGGCATAGTGCCGGGGGACATCATGGGTTCCATCACGGCCCTCTCGACCATCGCGGAGGACGAGGAGGGCATGGGCGAAGCACGCGTCCCTCCCGTGAACACGCACGCCTGGGGCGTTGAAGACGTGTTCGGGATGGGAGCGCAGGTTGGGGATGACCCGCGGTCAGTCGAGGACGCGCGCGGGCGACCGGAGTGGCCAGAGTGGGAGAAGGCGATCGAGATGGAAATGGAGAATCTGCGCGCGCATGGCACATTCGAGCTTGTCCCGAAGCCGGCTGGAGCACACGTCATCGGAAGCAAAATCGTGCTTCACGTCAAGGGCGATGCTGCGGGGAACGTCAAGCAATACAAGGCCCGGTGCGTTGCTCAAGGGTTCTCCCAGATTCCTGGCCTCGAGTACGGCGAGACGTTCGCCCCAGTGGCAAAGCTGAGTTCGATTCGACTCATGATTGCGCTCGCTGCACGGTATAGCTGGGACATCATACAGCTCGACGTCAAGAGCGCCTATCTCAACGGCGACCTCAAGGAGACGATCTACATGCGGCAACCACCGGGCACAGCAAAAGCAGGCGAGGAGCACCTTGTTTGCAAGCTGATGAAGACTCTTTACGGGCTCAAGCAGGCCGGGAGCGAATGGCACAAGGTCTACCTCGACGCTATGCGCTCCCTGGGGATGAGCCGGTGCGAGAACGACCATGCAAGCTACTACCGTCATGGCGAAGACGGAATCCTGCTCGTCGGCACCATCGTCGATGACATGTTCGTCACCGGCACTTCGGACTATGTCAACAAGTTCCGCACCGACATCGCCACCAAGTTCACCATCACCGACGGCGGCCCGCTCACCTGGTTCCTCAACATCGAGGCCGAGCGCGATCTTGCCAAGGGAACCATCCGCATCTCACAGCGTGCAGCCATTGACAAGCTCGTTCGCAAATTCCACCTCGAAGGGGCCAAGCCCGTCCACACGCCCATCGTTGTAGGGGGCGTGCTCGACCGTTCGCAGTGTCCGACCACAGCCGAGGCGATTGCGGACATGGCCAGCGTGCCTTACCGTGAAGGTGTGGGCTCGCTCATGTACCTTGCCATCGCTACACGTCCCGATATCGCATTCACCGTGATGCGTCTTGCGCAATACATGTCAAACCCCGGCCGCGTTCACTGGGAGGCTGTCAAGCGTGTCATCCGATACCTCGCGACGACGCGCGAGCAGTGGCTCGAGTTCGGCGCGACCCGCGACGGACTCGCCGGCTTCTCGGATGCGGACTGGGGCACATCGGACGACACACGTCACTCGATCTGCGGGTACGTCTTCACCTTCGACGGCGGCGCTGTATCCTGGTCTGCCAAGAAGCAGAATGTCGTCGCTTTGTCCACGACGGAGGCCGAGTACATCGGCGTTACTCACGCGGCCAAAGAGGCCATCTGGCTGCGGAGCTTCCTCGGCGAACTGGTCCACCCAGGCTTCATCGAACACGCGGTCCGGCTCTACGTCGACAACCAATCCGCTATCGAGCTCGCCCGGAACAGCATGTTCCACGCCAGGACGAAACACATCAGCATACGCTACCACTTCATCCGGGAAGTAGTCGAGCGCGGCGAGATCACGCTGGGCTACCGGCGCACGGAGGACATGCCTGCGGACGCCCTCACCAAGCCGCTGGCGCGTCCGCGTCTCGGGTACCTCATGGGTATGATCGGGGTGCGTCCCCTTTGAGGGGGCGTGTTGAATGACGAAGAAAACGCACGCGCGCAGGGCGCGCGCGCGATGGTGCAAAGTGGACGCAGCAGGCGCGCGCACGCGCGCCGCGTACCCGCGAGCTCGTCCAGTACACCCACTCTCATTTATTCCCTTTCTCGGTATGTTCTACTCGACATTCGTTTACTCATTCTCCCGGGCTCTCGAGGCCTCGGCTCGAGAGCGCTCGTACGATACATGACTCGTGTCGTTATTTTCACCTAGGTACTGCCGCCCGCACGGGCGCTCACCTCATTCGTTCTTGCTCCGAACGTCTGAGGTGAGTTCTTCCCAGCCTCGCTGTCGTGATCTGTTACTCACGTATCTCCAGTGCAGACTTACCTTCTGCACTAGCTCGCTCCGCTCGCTCCTCCCCCATCGTTCATAACCTTAACATCCCTGGCCGCGTTTCACCTGCTAGTTTGGGGTGATGGTGGTACCAGCGGCGGGGGCAGCCCAAGCATGTTGCGGATCATCTGCGCCGCCTGCGCATTACCCTGCGAGATGTGAAGGTGCGTCACCGCGGGCGCGAGTACCGCCCAGTGCGGGAGCGTGTCCTCCCAGGGGTGCAGCTTCAGCCAGGCATAGACGACGTGCAGACGGCGCAAGGCGGGAAACGGCGCGCCCTCGGGGCCGTTTGCGCTGGGCAGCGGCACATCGTAGAAGGTGAAGTCAGAGACGTCGCCCTCGCGCGGAACGAGGACCTCCGGGCGGGGGATGCGCACGAACATGCGGTCGTCCCCGAGCAGGGTGAGCTCGTGCAGCGCGAGGAGGCGGCAGCACACAAGTGGGAGGCACACATTGCGTCTCCAAGTCTGGAGCACGACGAGCGTCCACAACATGTGCGCGACGTGCGCGAAGAGCGCGGAGACGTGGAGGACGAACACGCGGTTCCATGCGATCTTCAAGTTTGTATTCCACTCGCGGTGTTGACGAGCTGCATGAGCATCGCGCGCTCATTGCGCGGGTGGTCCATCCAGTTCACTCTAACGGGCTCAGCAGGCCCCGCTGCAACCGCAGGTAGCCGCCCAGATGCCCCGAGCGAAGCGCTCATAACACACTCTGTAACGCAATCTGTGACACATTGTATATGATTTATTGTGGGCGGCAGGTATCCCCGAGCTCCCTAATTTGTACTCTAACGGGCTCAGCAGGCCCCTGCGATAGGAGAAAAACTACCAAAAGTGGGATACTCCATCTAAATAAAAGAAACTCAAAGGTGTCACGAGTGACAAGAGCTGGAGTGATCAGTCACCTAAGCGCGCATTCTGCTCCGCTTCGTCACCGTCCCGACTGCTATACTCGGTGCCTGCTGTTGCCCCTTGTCCTGGACCTGCTCTAGTCTGCTATACGCATTATCTCTACAGTGACATTGCTGCACCTCATAGGCCTAGCCGGTAGCTGCTCTGCTTCTATCCCTTGCCTTCTGAATCTCGGATAGTATACGGTGGGTGCTCTTTGGAATATATGGATCGCCCTAAAGACCCAAGCAAGCCCCACTCTCCCGGTACTTGCAGTACGAAGCTCATGGGATCACCGCTTCTGCCTGGAACCACGGCATCACTTTTGCATCATCAAGCAGCACGGGCTACCTGGTTGTGCGGGATTTGCAGGCTCAGCGAGAAGTGCCTGCACTGGCGTAAGGTTATGGGGCTGGGGACCCTCGTCGGAGGGATGCTGCTGGATGCAAGGATTTGGCAGTCCTGGATTCCTGGTAGGTGTCAGCGGGGAATGAGCGATGTCGCATGACATCCTGACAAAGTAAGTCATTATTGTAGAATCACTAGACTTGTCGACTCTTCACTTCAGGAGACTCGTTCGGTCATGTCTGCGGAAGATGATACATCGCCCGTGATTATGGTATAGTACCTGAGTAATGCACGCGCCATAGAGAATGTCCGCAAGGTGGTCGCTGAAACCAGCATCGTGGAGCGCGCACAGAAGCTGCCGTCGTAGGCTGAGTCTGATAGCCCTAACGACACCAAGTTGAGGGCAAAGCTCGAGAATGTGGCGGTAGCAAGTTCTCCCTATACAATCACTAGCAGAAGGTGAGCGCAAGCTCGAAGCGGAGGAGAGCTTGATTGCTGACCTCGGGGAGTGTCTTGACCGAATTGGCAGTAAAGCCCGCGCTGAGCATGATGGCGAAGGCCGCGCGAGCACGGCGCGAACACTTGCGCTCGTCTAGGAGAGCCTCCTCCTGCATTGCGCGGACGTTCATGCGGCAGGGGAGTGTCTGTGAAGACAATATGGTGAGTGCACTGTCCTCGAATGTCGGGCTATTCAGCTCACACACTCTCGGCCTACCTGGCAACCAGGGAGCTCGTACGACGCTG